AAAATTAACACTTATTATTCCTGAGCAGAGCTGCGAGAGAGAGAGAGAGAGAGAGAGACAGAGAGACAGAGAGACAGAGAGACAGAGAGACAGAGAGAGAAGAGAGAGAGAGAGAGAAGAGAGAGAGAGAAGAGAGAGAGGGAGGGAGGGAGGGAGGGACTCTCTGGCATTTTGGTACTTGCTGAGTTTGGCAGTTTGGGTTTTTTTTTAAATTTTTTTATTTTTAAAAGATCATGATAAATTGGCAGATCGCCAGTGCCGGCCGTGACTTCTGGGGACTGGGAGGCGAGGTGGGACTCGGGGTGTTCTGGGGACTGGGAGGCGAGGTGGGACTCAGGGGGTGGGCGAAATCTGCACCTTGCTTCGCGGATGAGTCAGGCCGCACGCCTCAAGTTGCGGGGTTCTCCCTCATGCACGCCTGTCGAGTGCCGTTGAAGGACAGTGTGGAGCAGAAGCGAGTGCGCGTGTGGACGCGCGGCCCCTCGCGGCCCCCACCCGGGCAGAGGGCCCGTGGAACCCAGGCAGCTTCGGCATTCTGCCCCAAGTGCCGCATGATCTTAGGGAAGTCAGCAAAGTTCTTCCTGAATAACCCGGGATGCTGCTGCCCGCAGACCCGAAACTTCGGACAGGATGAGAGGTTGTCAGCGCCCGCCGGGCGAGTGACAGTCAGCATCCATGGGCTGGCTCACCTCGGGCCACAGGCGTGCAAAGGAGCATCGCCCACTAACTAGGGCATCCCCTCCCCCGCTCCCCTCATGTTCCTGGGTGGTTTCGGGGGCATAGTGGACACCCCACTGGGCCCCTCCTAGCCTCGTCCTTCAGAGAGGAGCTTTGTAGGCCAGAGGGCCCAGCCTCCGAGGGGAGTGCTTCTCCGGTCCGTGGGGACCCCTCGGGGGAGTGCTTCTCCGGTCCGTGGGGACCCCTCGGGCTTTCGTGTTTCACCTCACTTTTACTTTCCGCCGGCTTCATTTCCCCTCTCCCAGCTCCCCAGGATCGACACTTGGGGGAGAGCTGAGACAGGACCAGGCACTGCGCGCTCTTGTCTGGCGGGCCCTTGATCTAATTAGCCCGGAACCTCCCATCGGTGCCGGCTGGGGCTTGGTGGTTTCGGTGGCAGCCGTGTGGGCCGTGGAGCCGGTGGCAGCTCTGGGGCTGCCTGGCCATGCACATATTTCTGAATGTGGGTGCTGGGCGTAGCTGCATCTGTGAATCGGGGGGACCCGCTGATGAATTGCTGGGCACGCAGAGAGCAAAAAGTGACTGTCAGACGTGACTCCTAAGGTGCAGGAGCCTTCTCTGCCCTCTTGGTGTCTGTGAGTCAGACGGCCACGGCTCCACGCACGGCCGAGGGACGAAGACCCCGCTCGGCAGAGAGCAGTAGATCCTGCTCTGCCATCAGCCCGGGGGGTTGGCTCTGGTGGGCAGGGAAGAGGGCCTGGCCAGGGCTGGCTCTCCTCCATGAGTATTTCCCAAGCCCCTCCTGGGGGTCCAGGGACTGATGCTTCAGGGGCCTGAGGAGGAGGAGACAGCATCTGTGCCCACAGCCTGGTCGCCAGCATCAGGAAGATTCACGGGATATGGTTAGATGAATCCAGGGTCGCTGTGCCCAGCCAGGGGCAGCCGTGCGTGCTGGCCTAGTCAGGGGAGGCTGCCTGGAGGTGGTGTGCAGTTGGAATGCATACAGATAGGGAGGGCTTCAGAATACCACCCCCAGCTGGCTAGTGGTCTAATTCTCTGAGCCCATTTTTTCTTCTCTAGAAACGTGTTTTCCCAGCAAGCAGGGTTAATTCAGAAATTAAATTCACGTTATAAACCGTAATAGAAATCGCTGTACAATTGTCATTTTCACATACCCTCTGCCTCGTAAATATCCACGAGGTTCCACATTCTAATAGGGAGGCCACGTATAAGGTTGATATTAGTGGTCTAATTCTCTGAGCCCATTTTTTCTTCTCTAGAAATGTGTTTTCCCAGCAAGCAGGGTTAATTCAGAAATTAAATTCACGTTATAAACCGTAATAGAAATCGCTGTACAATTGTTATTTTCACATACCCTGTGCCTCGTAAATATCCACGAGCTTCCACATTCTAATAGGGAGGCCACGTATAAGGTTGATGTCTCATTCATTCATTCATCCATTCGTCCATTCAGTTCTTGAACCCATACTCTGTGCCAGGTACTGAGAAGCATCATTTACGGGGCAGGGGGTGGGTTGGGGGTCTTCTGAGGCTACCCCCCACATCGAGGCCATCTCTAATTATGATGAGAGCCTCCCCGGGGGAAGTGGGGGGATGTGCATGGGGCCTGTGCGGTGAGCGTGCTGAGCTCGCCCTGTGTCCCCAAACTTGTCAACGAGTTCCTCTGCCGCTAGGATAAATGGAGATCTGCCTGAGTGTCTGTCGGGTGCATGTGGCCTAGTTGCCAGGGCTCCAGGGGCACGACAAACACCCGGCAGATTCCAGCCGGTGGGCTATGTGGGGCAGGCCACCTGCCCGCGCACGTGGCTCCGTGTGCCTCTGCGGTGGGATGGCTGGGCCGGGGGGACTCCTGCTGTCCCCGCCAGCCCCTGCCAGGGCCTGGGGACCCGGGGACTGGCCAGGAGCCTCAGCCCATCTGTGCTTGTGCCGTGGCCCTGGCAGAGCCCCTCTGCTGCCTAATTCTTGTCTTTGAGGGCGGATCGGAGCACCTGGCGCCTTTGGTGAGGCTGGTTCCCTGGGGGACCCCGAGGGGGAGCCGTGTCCTTGGCTGTCCCAGATAACGCTCTCGCCGACACCAGCGTGCCCGGCGACAAACACCGAGTGCTTGCTGTGTGTCAGGGGCGAGTCAAAACCCCATTTCTTCCCATTACGAATTATTAATATTATTAACTTATTTAATTCCCACACCAGTGATGAGAGTAAGCTATTTGGGGATGGGGGTGGCTAGGGTGACTTTGTTTTTAAAGACCTTATTTTTTCGGAGCAGTGTTAGGTCTGCAATAAAACTCAGAGGCGGTCCAGAGCTTTTCCTTACGGCCGCTGTCGCACACAGGCGCAGCCTGCCCGTCCTCGGCGTCGCTCGCCACGGCGGCCCTTTGCGTGTGTGTGTGCAAAGATGAGCCTGCTCTGGCCCATCGCAGTCACCCAAAGTCCATGGTTTGCCTTGGGGGGCTTTCCCCTCGGCGTTGTGCGCTCTGTGGGTTCGGAGGAAGGTGTGATGACACGTACCCGTCCTTGTGGCACCACGCAGAGTAGTCTCGCTGCCCTAACAATCACGTTCCATCCTTCCTCCCCCGCCCCCTCTGGCAGCCGCCGACCTTGTTGTCCCCACGGTTTTGGCCTTACCGTGATGTCACGCAGCGCGTGGCCTTTGCAGACTGGTCTGTCACTCGGCCACGTGCGCTCACGTCTCCTCCATGCCTTTTTGCGGCTCTATAGCCTGTTGCCTTTTAGCGCTGAATGATGACCCACGGCCGGGTGCGTCACAGTTTATTCCGTCACCCACCGAAGGGCATCCAGGCTGCCTCCCAGGCTCGGCGGTTATGAGGAAAGTTGCTGCACACGTGCGTGGGCGGAATTTTGTGTGGACGTAAGTTTTCCGCTCATGTGGTTACGTAAGCGCCAAGGAGCGGGACTGTGGATCTTAGGGTACGAGAATGTTCGGCATTTTGAGAAACTGCCAGGCTGCCTTCCAGTGAGCGTGGCAGCGACGTTGTGCACCCCGCCGGCGAGCGAGGCCTCCGGCGGCTCCCCGACCTCGCCAGCGCGCGTGGTGTCGCTGTTCCGGGTGTTGGCCCTTCCGATAGGTGCATGGTGGTGAGGAAGGCTGTCGACAAGCATCTGAGAAAGGGAGAAACTGAGGCACAGGCTACCTGACTTACCCAAGACCATGCACTAAGTGGCAGCGCCAGGTTCTCCCCCCGGGAGGTGTGTGATTCTCTGCCACGCCCTGCTGACCACCGCGTCACACTGGTCGCAGGTGCCAGGCCCTCCCGTCCCCTCGCGGTGGCCCTCCCTTACAGTGTGAACCGATGCCCAGGCCACAGGACGTGAAGCCAGGATTTGAACCCTGCCTGCCAACTCCGCGTGGATGCCACACGGGCGTGTCGCTGGCCCTCGGGGCTCACTCTCTTCCCTGGGACCTTTGAGTGAGGGTTTGGGGTCACGGCAGCTCCCGGGTGGGGAGATGGAGCCACTTTCTGACTTGGAAGCAGGACAGGGTGTCCGCCCATTGTTTAATGAGCCACCAAATAGGCCATCTGTTTCAGAGTTTAGAAGAGGTCTGTCTGTCTGTCTGTCTGTTTTTTGTGATATCTTCCAGTGGCTGCCCATCCCTCTTAGAGTAAAATCTCAAAGTCCTCCAGTGACTGTAAGGTGATATGCACCCCTTGTCCCCTCTGACCTCACCCCCACCTTGTCCCCGGCCCCCTAGCTCAGGCACGCTGCCCCTTGCTACTTAGCACGAGCTCACCTGAGGCTTTGCTCTGACTCTTACCTGGAGAGCTGCCCGTGTTCTCACGTCAGCCCCCGATGCGGTGTTATGTTTGACCCTCTGTTCATTTTCTGCCTCCCTGCCCACTAGAACGAGGGCAAGTGTTATATGTTCAGTCCCCACCCAGCTCAGTGCTTGGCACATAGTACATGCTCAGTAAATAGTCTACTGGAGTTTTAAAAATCCTGGTTGGATCCCCTTCCCTGGGCAGACCCCGTCTGGGGCCCTGTCCCTGTGACGTAGTCTTGGGTTCGAGCTGTTGAATGCGGCCTGCACAGCTTGTCACTGGACCAGCAGGAGAAGTCACAGCAAATGACGCTTTCCAGAGCCAAAGTGTGGGGCCAGGCCCCTGGGGCCCGTACGCCGTGGAGCCGGGCTGTCTGGGGCTGGGACGGGCTCGGCTCTGCGGCCCCCACACCAGCCCTGGTTCTGGGGGTCGGGGAGGGGCCGGCTGGGCGTGCCGGGGTCCGGGGGCTGCCGCCGGAGCACGTGGCGTGCAGGGCCGCTGACGGGCGTGGTTTCCTTGCAGAGGAAGGCATCAACCACGAGTGTAAACTGTGCAACCAGACGTTCGACTCCCCGGCCAAGCTCCTCTGCCACCTCATCGAGCACAGCTTCGAGGGCATGGGCGGCACCTTCAAGTGCCCCGTGTGCTTCACAGGTAAGGGCCCCGTGGGGAGCGGGCAGGGGCCCTTGGCTCGCTAGACCTCGGCTTGTGCTCCTGGCCGGACACGGACCCGGGGTTCACGGGGAGGTCCCAGGGGATCCCCAGCCACAGCGCCCTGCCTGCCTCCATGCAGACCTGCCCCTGCCCCTGGGCCCTCCGGCCGCCCCTTCGAGGCCGGTGGGGTGGCCCCCTTCCTTAGCCCTCCCCTCACCCCTGCACCGAGTGGCTGCAAGTCCTTGGCGCCCCCGGCCCTGGTTCAGGGGTCCCTGCCTGGGCCCCGGGCTCACCTCCCTGTGCCGGCAGCTCTGTCCAGCACTGGTGCTGCTCCCCCGGCCCCTGGCCTGTCACAGCCCGTGCTCCATCCGCGCCCCAGGCCTCAGGAGTCGGGTGGCTCTGCCGGCCAAGCCTCAGCCCCCAGACTGGCTGCCGGCCCAGGCGAGCGGCTGTCCCAGCCCGAGGCGAGTCTCAGGGGCTCTGCCCGCCCCCCTCCTGCTGCCCAGATGGCAGCCGGTGTGCGTGGGGGCGCTCGGCCCTCCTCTGCCTTCCCCAACATCTGCTGTCTGCCACGGCAGGAAGCCCACCCTGGGGAGGCCGCCTGGCGGGAGGGGCTCTCTGAAGAGCTCGCCTCCCAGACACGCAGCTGCCTCCGGGTGCCCAGGGCCGGGCTCCTGCTGCTGAAGCCGGGGTGCGACCTGCTCATGTCAGGCCTGGGGAATGGGCTCTGCTGTGGGCAAAGCCCTCACACCCACACCCTCCGGGGGATCCCCAGGGCCCTCTTCCCCTTTCGCCTCGGGAACCCCCCCCCACCCCCACGCCGATCTGTTGTATCACACTCTGTGGGCTAGGTGGGGGCTGGCTCCGCGGGGCCCCAGCCGCTGAGACCGCTGATCCAGGATGCGGGGCCCCCGTGTGGGTGCCGACAGCAGCTTAGTAACGAGCATAGCGCACCTCGTTGTCCCGGACGCTGCACTAAGCCTGCTCAGTTCCAGTCTTGGCTCTGCCACCTGCTAGTGGTGGGTGGGACCTAGGACAAGTCATTTAATTTTCCCGGTGCCTCCGTTTTTCGTCTGTACGATGCGGACGAGCACCCTGCCGGCCTGTGGGCCCGTGCTGTGTTCGGGGAGCCCGCACGTGGCAGGGATGTGGCAGAGGATGATCACGACAGTGACATTGTGCAGGATTAACCCACGTGGTCCTCCCAGCCACTCAGTGAGCGATGGATTTTTAAAGACCCCCATTTTTTGGGTGAGGAAATGAAGCCCCGAGAGGTTAAGTGACTTACCCAGTGCCGCACACTGGTAAGTGGCAGGGTCAGCTCCACTGGCTCCGGCCGCCTCCGGCAGGCACCAGCAGGGCTGCCACAGAGGCCGGTCGCTGGGCCTCGTGTGGGTGCTGGGCGGGCGGCTCCTGAGGCCGCGTCCTCTGCAGTCTTCGTCCAGGCCAACAAGCTGCAGCAGCACATCTTCGCCGTGCACGGACAGGAGGACAAGATCTACGACTGCTCGCAGTGTCCGCAGAAGTTCTTCTTCCAGACCGAGCTGCAGGTCAGTGCCCTGGGCCGCTGCCCGCGCCCTGCCCGGCGCCCTTCGGGGTCCCCGCGGGCCCTGGGGGTGTCGGGGTGAGCTGGGACACAGGTAAGGTTGCGCTGCGGTAACGAACACCCTCCGATCTGTGTGTTCACGCGGCAGAGCTTGACGTGTGGTTCGTGCTCCACGTCCAGGCAGCGGGCCGGGCAGGGCCGCCTGCTCACCCCACTCACTCAGCGGCCTGGGCCCGGGGAAGCCCATCTCTGGCCGCCGAGGCGGGGCGGGGGAGGGGGTGCCTCACGCACCCGCTCTCAAAGCTCCTGCTGGGGAATGACACACCCGCCCACGTCTCACGCTGCCTTGGCCAGAGCAGGCCAGGCGGCCGTGCCTCGTTTCACAGGGGCCGGGGAGGGAATCCTGCCCTGTGCCTGGGCGAGGAGCTGGCGTGTGTCAATACCCCAAGGGCTGGCACCTGCCATTGGCCCTCAGGGTGTGTCTGCCTGCCCACACATCCACACAGGTGCCGGCCCTGTGCCCAGCGGTGCACCCACCCTCAGGGACGAGGCTGAGGTCACTCGAGGGTGGCCTTCTGGGGTCGACGGGACACAGTGTGGCCTGTTGTGGGGCAGCCCCTTCTCGCGGTGTTGTGGCTGGTCCCCACAGCCAGGCCCTGACCGGTCACACAGCTGGTGGCAGCCGTCTGCTGCCTGTGGAGGACTCCGGGGTTCAGCATCTGATGGTCAGGGGCCCATTCCCGCCGGGGCGCTTTGCCGGAAAGCCTGTTTCCTGTCATTCCTCAGGTTGCTCCTCTGAGTCCCTGTAGGTCCCTGTACCGGTGACACAGATTCATCTCATCACAGTGTGGGACAGATGTACGGACCCAGGCCCAGAGAAGGGGTTCCCCTGACAAACGGCCACCAGCAAGGCAGTGACCCCGCCCGAGCCCCACCGCCGACTCCCCGGGGACCCACATCTGAGCGTGCGCCTCTGTGCTAAGGGCTGAGGGGACAGCTCGGTGCCCTCACTGTCATGTGACCAGAGGGGCTCGCGCCAGCACCCGACCAGCAGGCTGTCCAGGGAGCCTCCTCGCTCGTGCACTGGCTGTGAGCCACCTCGCCTGCCTCCCACCTGCCTTACCTGCCTGGCCCAGCTATCGAAATAGGCCCCGGGTCCCCAGACACCTGAAGCTTTTTATAGCCCGGAGGACAGGCCTCCTTTAAACCCAGCGGTGCGCATAGACCACGATTACTTAAACCGGGGACTCGCTCGGCCCCGGGTCCTTCTGCGCTGTCCCGGACGCCGAGAGAGACAGGCGCGCTCTCCTCGTCGGCTGTGCGGGCTGTCCCCGAGGCGTGTCTCCCGGCCGAGGTCATCGGCACCGCGGTGCCAGAGGCCCCCCTCCCCACGCAGAGGAGCCGCGGCCTCAAGCCGGCGGTTCTCACGTCAGCTGCAGCCACCTGCGCCACAGACGGTGCCAGACACCAGAACGGCTCTTGTGAGCCGGTGGTTTCCTGGGTCACCCCGTCAACCTTTAGGGCAGGCCCTCAAATGCCAAGAACCTCGCTAAATTACAGCCTGAACGAGTCACTATTTTCTGCAATTAATGATTTTAATTACAGACCATTTAAATGTGGATGTGTTGTAGCGATGCCAAATCTATGCAAATCATGGCTTTCGTTAAGTAGCTCGAATAGCAATTTTCTGGTGTTTTGAGAGGAGAGTTTTTCAGGCCCCGATGTTTCCTCGTCACCGAGCCGGAGCGGGGGCTGGCGGGCGGGTTTACTCCCCTGGGGTGGCGTGGGGGTTAAGTGGTGCCGCAGGACAGGGCCGGGTCATGACTGGGCCTTGACTGGCTCTCACGGACTGGACCCTGCGAGGGGTGGCCTGGGTCAGTCAGTGACGCTGGCTCCCAGAGGATGTTCTCTTAGGATGCATTCATAGGAGCGCAGCGGCCAGGATGAGGGGGGCACCAGTCCTGTTTGATTCTGAGTTCACCTGACACAGCGCAAAGGCCGAGGCTAATTCTAAGGACTCGGACAAATGGGGCCACGTCCCTAACAGTCAGGTGAGGAGCAGGAACGGGGACTGAGCTTTGCTCTCCATCTGTTCAAAACGCGTGTCCGGAGGGGCCGCTATGTTCCCGATCGAGGAGCTGGCAAGACAAGGGCAAATGAGACCGAGAAACACCCACAGGCTCCCGTTCTGGAGGGACCGATGGGTGCTGTCCCGTGGGGTCGACGGCAGGAGAAAATAGACCGGGTAACAGGCCAGAGCGCGAAGCAGGGAAGGTGGGGTACTCCCCGTGAGCGTGATCAGGGAAGGCCTCTGCGAGGAGGTGGCATTTGGGCCTGGGTGGCGAGAGGGAGAGGGAGAGGGTGAGGAAGAGCCACGCACAGGCCCTGTGGTCAGCGTGAGCCCGGGGTTGCTGAAGGCAACGTGTGGCTGCGGTGCAGGGCGCGGGGGGCTGTGTGGGGCCGTGTGAAGGGGTCGTGGCTGGGGCTGCGGGACGGCGAAGGCGTCTGGATTTCTCCCCCGCTGTGGCGAGGAGCCGAGTGGAGAAGACGTGTTATCTGATCTGCACCCCGCATCAAAGTGTACGGGGTTCGGTCTTTGAAAGGCCAAACTGCTAAGTGAATGAAAGTCAGACTGGGAGGAAATCTTTGCAAATTCACATATTTGATGAAGAACTTATATCCAGAACATTTCGAATAAAAGTCTCCAAACTCAAGAGTGAGGAGTGGGGAATCAACTAAAAGAATGAGCAAAGAACTCGAGCGCTTCTCTGCAGACGTGGGGATGCTTGTCACTAGTCATCAGAGAAACGCACGACGTGCGTCACCGTCACTAACTATGAGAATGACTAACGTGTGTCACCGTGCACCGATGAGAATGACTAAAACCAAAACAGAAGCCCGACAACAGCCAGTGTCGACTGGGGCGTTGAGGGCCGGTCGGAAGACTCATTCTGCCCTGGAAGAATCGCAAGCCGACACGGCCACGTGGCAGAAGAGCTTGTGAGTTTCTCGTAAACACAGTTGGCATGCAAGCTCACAGCCCCTCTCCCGAGCGTTTACCCGAGAGCACGGAAAACATGCTCACACGACACGACAGCCGCCACAGGAACGTGACAGCGGCTTTATTGACAGTGCCCCCTCATTGTCCCCGGGCCGGTGAACGGTCGGACAGAGGTGGTACCCGCATACAGTGGACGACTCCTCAGGGCCGAAAAGCGAGCCCCGGGACCCAGATGCCACGTGAGGGAAGCCGGCCCCGCGGCTCGCACCGTTTGGTGGAACCTGTGTGCACGGCCTTCTGGAAGAACGCAAGAACGAACGCCGGAACGGGAAGCAGCCGGTGGCTGCCGGAGGCCAGGTGCGCAGGGGACAAAGCGGGAAGACTAAACAAGGTTTGTCTCGACGTGCGCGTGTGCACACACGTGCGCACACACACGTGCACACACACACGCACATGCACACGCACACGCGCGCACATGCACACGCACAGACACGCACACGCGCGCACACACATACACGCACACACACGCCCTGAGAGCGGTGGGCCAGGCGGGGGCGGGGAGCCCGCCCGACTGTGAGCCAGGAGGGGACCCGGCTGGATTGCGGTGGAATTGAGGGGACAGTCGTTTTCAAGCGTTTTCTGCCTCATCGGGAGGAGCGGGTTCTCAGGCTGCTCCAGGTCCCAGGACGTCCGGTCACAGGCAGACGCTCAGGCCGTGACTTTCGGTCTCTGACAGTCACGGCCCAGGCAGCACTCTCCAGCGGTAGCTCCGGTGAGGTGGGCGTTGCAATGGGTGGGGCAAATGGGTGGCTTCCGCATGCCCAGAGCAGGAAGTGTGACTGAGTTTTTGGTGTCTGGTTCCCAGGACCGAGGGTCCCTTTATCAAGCCAGTGACGCCGGCCTCTGCCTGGCACCGACGTGTTCTCTCTGCAGCTGACTTCCTGGGCTCCTGTGCGGGGGGAAGGTGGCCAGCACCGCCACACCCC